AAGGGTGGGGCCGCCGCCCTGGGCCACCTGCAGCAGCCAGCGCAGCAGCACGGTGTCCGGGGGCACTCGGAAGCGGTAGAGTCTGGCGCTGCCATACCAGCTGTAGAAAGACAGCCTCTGCGGGGACTGCGAGAACTGCTCAGACACCAGCCTGATGTCTGCGGGGAGAAGGCACTGTCAGCCAGACCAGGGTGCCCCAAGGCGCCCCCAGCTCCACGTGGGGGGCAGACAGGGGACTCAGAGCCCTTCTGCCCCGCATGGCCCCAGAGAGAAAGGACGAGGGACCCAGGGTGGGCTGGGCTGCAGCCCGGGGATGCCAGCCTTCTAACTCTGACCTGGACAAAGCTCACAGTCCCCTCCAGCCCTGGCAGTTGCTTCTGGCAACTGGGCCCACTTGACAGGTGAGGGAGTTCAGGCCTGGAGGCTGGCCACCTGCTCAACCCATGATGACATGGGACACAGCGGGACCGATGCCTGAGTCCCCTCACCCGGAGAGGTGGCAAGCCATGGGGACCTGGGGACAGCTGGCCTCATTTCCTATGGGCATGTGCCCATACTGAGTGGCACAGGGATAAGGCAGGGCCTATGGCAGACAGACCACCCAGGGCCTCAACCGGGGCTCCGGGCCCTGCAGCGACTCTCAGCCCCCCACCTCTCTGGCCCCAGTCCCTTGCTCCCCTCCCCTACATACTCCAAAAACGTGCCCTCACTGCTCACTCCGTCAGACCAGCATTTCCTGGAGCAGCTCTGAGCACCTTCTGAGACTCAGCACAGAGTCTAGTGCAGTGATGGCGAGCCTTTTGAGCTCGGCGTGTCAGCATTTTGAAAAACCCTAACTTAACTCTGGTGCCGTGTCACATATAGAAATTTTTTGATATTTGCAACCATAGTAAAACAAAGACTTATATTTTTGATATTTATTTTATATATTTAAATGCCATTTAACAAAGAAAAATCAACCAAAATTATGAGTTCATAGGTTCGCCATCACTGGTCTAGGCCTCAACTGCCCAGGGCACAGCCTCCACGAGAGCCTGTGTCCAGGTCCCGCAGTGTAATCACCTGCCCCGTGAGGGGGTGGGGGTGCCCACCCAGGCCCCTCCCTGGGCTCCCAGAACACGCACACACTGCCGTCCTGTGGGTGGGAGACCAGGCCTGGGCTGGGCCCCCAGGTGCCTGAGCTGGATGGCAGGGATCCTGGCCCCAGTACCAGCCTCGCGACCCGTGTGACCTTGAGTGTCCCTCCCCCATCTGGGGCCCAGTTTCCTCATGATTCGGCAAAAGTAAACAGCACCTCCCTTTGGGGGCCCCTCCCTCCAAGGTCAATGGATGTTCAAGTGCTTCTGGAAGAAATGCACCGTGGACACAGCGTGGTGCGGCCTCACTCTCCTCCAGGCTGGGGGTGCCTCCCTCTGCCCTGCTGGGAGAGTCGCTGCTCACACAGCCCAGCAGCAGGCCCGGGCCCTCAGTAAGAGCCAGGGGAGCAGCTCCCTTGCAAAGCCAGTCTGAGCTCCAGAGGAGCCCGACGTGGGGCGAGGCTCCACATGGGGCGCACGCCAGGCTTCCCAGGTGTCTGTGGGCCCCCAGGTCCCACTCACCAGGCTGTGGCCCGAGGAGGCTCGGAGCCACTGAACTGCAGACTTCCTCGAGGCCCCTACAGACCCTGGGATAACATGACAGGGGCCAGAAACCTAAGTGCTGGGAGGTGAGGATAGCTCCCCACCCCGCCTCAGGGGGGCATCTGGGGCTGAGAGGAATAGTCAGCCTCTGGTGGGCCCCGAAGGGGAGCTCACATGCAGAGCGCAGCCCCCGACTGAGAGGCCGGCCTCCGCCCGCCAGCCCTGGAGCACCAGCCCGAGGACACTTGGAGCCCAGCTGGTGGCTGGGAAGTTTCAGCAGGTGCACAAGGGACCAGAGACAGGCTCAAGGTCACCCTAAGACACAGTGGTCCCCACTCCCGGGGCTACACAGCCCCTCCCAGCACCCCATTTCCTATGGGCATGTCCCATCTCCCTGCCCCAGATGCTCACTCTGTTACCTTGGTGAACATACCCGGTCATGAACACATCAGCCTGAGCCAGATGTGGAAGTCACATCTCTGAGAACAGGGAGCAAGGGCGCATGCACCCTCCCTGCCCCGTAGCCCCCTCCAAGGACACAGGGCTCGGGGAGGACAAAGCAAGTCTCTGAGCCTGTGCTGGGAACCCGAGTGAGGGCGCCCTGTCCCACGCTCTCCACACCGGGACACAGGACCGGGCACTCCCATTGTTCCCGGAGCAGGCCCGGGAGAGGAGGGCTGCCCCAGGTTCCCGTCTCCATAAGTTGCCCACCAGTGACCCTCACCATCCCTAACCCGGATGGAGAAAAAGGAGAAAACAAGGTGGCAGGAGCTAATGGAGCAACGTAATCAGGAGTCATCTCCGGGAAACTGCCTTTCATTTCTAGCTCAGAAACCAGAGGCGCAATCCTCCAAGAAACAGGAGCTTGGAGGAGCACGACGTCAGGAAAGGAGGGGCTGGGAGCAGCAAACCCAGGAGCTCTCCCAGGCCGTGCTGGGTCGCTGTCTATAACTGCTTGGGGAGGGGCACTGGGGCCTGGCAGCCCTGCCAGCCTGGCCACATGGCCCCCCTGGAGTCCCAGGCCATTAGGCATCAGGGGAGTTCACTCAACACCCCAAGCCCCGGGCAGAGCCCCGATGGGCCACCGTCTTGGGTCACGGAAGGCTGGGACCTCTCAAGGGGCAGAAATGCAAATGGAGGGACAAGTTCACCGACGAGGTAAGGCAGTAAGGTGCCCGTTTCCTCCACAGCGCCCTCTCCGCCCAGCTCCCCGGGCGCCTGCCAGTCCTCCGAGAAGTGAGGCAGCTGTGAAAGTGACTGCCGGGGCTGGAGGTCACCGTGGGCGGGGTGGCAACACGACACCCACCTGGGCCCTACTCCAGGGTCTATGCAACTTTCTCCCAACCAGACGGGGGACCCCTGGCATTACACCGCCTAACTCTTCTTTTCAGCAGCCTCTCAGCTGGGTCCCCGCAGACCCCACGGCCCAGCGCACGACCGTCAATCCGACCAGAAGGTGTTGGAGAAGGAAGAGAGAAGGGAGGGCGCCTCCCAGGGGCCCGTTTGCCAGAGCCTCGCCCTGGGGACAGAGGAGGGTCGAACGCGTCCTTTACACCCCGACCGCTCGCCCACGCAAGGGACTGACCTGGGCACTGCGCCCGCGCCAGGGGAGCGCACAGGTGCCCCCGGTCAGAGCGCAGGTGCCCTCGGTCAGAGCGCAGGTGC